ACTCCTGAACTTGGGAACGTGAGGGTGTATTTGTTTGTTAGGGGTGCTGTAAAGTACCCCAAACTAATTGGCTTAAGCAATGGAAATTTATCATCTCTATTCTGGAGGCTAGAATTTGAAATGGAGGTGTCCACACCGTGGATTCCTTTTGAGGGCTGAGAGGGAGGGATGTGCTCACTCTCTCTCCCTTGCTGTAAAGGCCATCTTCTCCCCGCATCTTTTAATGCATCTGTCCTTTAGACAAATCTATGTATGAATATCCCCTGTGTCCAAATAAGGTCACTCTTTGGCATTCTGGGGTTTGAGATTCTCCTGTTTGTTTTTTCTGTTTGGTTGGTTTTTTTTAGAGGGAGGCACAATTCAAACTATAATTCTTGTGGAGTTTTTTGTTTTGTTTGTGGCACTGGGATATGAACTCAGGGCCTCACACTTACTAGGCAGGTGCCTACCAGTGTAGCCAATCCTCCAGCCATGGAATTCCTGTTTTTATTTTTTTATTTTATTTTATTTTTTAAATTTTATTATTCATATGTGCATACAAGGCTTGGGTCATTTCTCCCCCCTGCCCCCACCCCCTCCCTTACCACTTACTCCGCCCCCTCCCTCTCCCCCCTACCCCCTCAATACCCAGCAGAAACTATTTTTCCCTTATTTCTAATTTTGTTGAAGAGAGAGTATAAGCCATAATAGGAAGGAACAAGGGTTTTTGCTGGTTGAGATAAGGATAGCTATACAGGGAGTTGACTCACATTAATTTCCTATGCGTGTGTGTTACCTTCTAGGTTAATTCTTTTTGATCTCACCTTTTCTCTAGTTCCTGGTCCCCTTTTCCTATTAGCCTCAGTTGCTTTTAAGGTATCTGCTTTAGTTTCTCTGCGTTAAGGGCAACAAATGCTAGCTAATTTTTTAGGTGTCTTACCTATCCTCACCCCTCCCTTGTGTGCTCTCGCTTTATCATGTGCTCAAAGTCCAATCCCCTTGTTGTGTTTGCCCTTGATCTAATGTCCACATATGAGGGAGAACATACGATTTTTGGTCTTTTGGGCCAGGCTAACCTCACTCAGAATGATGTTCTCCTGTTTGTTTTTTTTTTTTTTGTTTGGTTGGTTTTTTTTAGAGGGAGGCACAATTCAAACTATAATTCTTGTGGAGTTTTTTGTTTTGTTTTGTTTTGTTTGTGGCACTGGGATATGAACTCAGGGCCTCACACTTACTAGGCAGGTGCCTACCAGTGTAGCCAATCCTCCAGCCATGGAATTCCTGTTTTTAAAAAAGCCATATTGAGAGGGTTTTTGGTTTTTTGTCTTTTTTTTTGTTTTGTTTCTATCACTTATAACCAAGGGTGCTTCTGCTTAGTAAAATTAATTTTTTTCCTTAGGGAACTAAACAAATGTCAGCAACTTTTCAGAAATGAGCAATAACATGCATAGGCGTAATTTTAATTTAACAGTTCCATTTTCAGAGCCATTCTTGAGAGACACCACAGGTTCAGGATGAAGAACTGCAGGGTAAGATCTGCAGGGAAGATTTTAATTCTTCCATGATGAATGAAGGCAGACAAATCAACTACAAACAGATCAGCAGTTTCATTTTAAAAGGACATAGTATGAGATTGTGAAAAGGAAAATAATCTAAGGATGAAAATATCTTTTAAAATAAAACATCTTGCCTCTACCACTATGATATTACAGGTGACACTGGAGACCAAACCTCTCTCACTTGTGACGAAGGGCAGACTTGGCTATTTCACTAGGTTATAGAAAAAAAAAAGATGAAAAAGGTATGTAAGCAAACTAGAAATCACTATACACAGCTAAGCAGTGTAAACTTTTTTCACTTAACTAACATTACGTGTGGCGATCCAGACATTGAACCGTATACTTTATATACGTTATCTTGTTGAATCGTCACAATCCTAGGAAGCAGGCCAGTCAGGTCTATTTTCGTCCTAGCTTTCAGATAAGGAAATTGAAAAATAAAGATATACAAAACCTTTTTCTAAAGTCAGCAAATAAGCAGCTAATGAGTAATATAGACCACAATTGACTCCAAGTCACATCTGAGGCAGTACATAAAGGGTAAAAAAGACATCCACATACATTAGGGATGCAGACAAATTCAGATGAAAACAGTGGACAGACCAGACACAGATGTTTTGGTGAAAACACTTACTAGATTTTAAATGCAGGATTAAGGCGTGTGCTTGTTCTCTGCTTCTGATAATAAACTGCTGAGTGAGTGAGTCCCCTGGAGGCTGAAGGACTAGTAAGTGGACAGAAAATCATTACTGTGTCACTCTGAGAGCATCTGCTGCGTGCGGGACTGGCCCTGGGCATCAGGACCACTCTATGGTAAGCATGTAAGCCTTTTGTGCGGCTCAGCCCTTCCATCTTGATTTCTGTTCACTAAGCATTCTGTGCTAGCTGGTTTCACGCTGCTCATATATTGGTATCTGTTTCCTTGTTTCAAGACATGTCTCATGGAGACTTCAGTAGAAGTGTCCCCTCTGGCTATCTGGTGACTGGATGTCTTCCATCAGCTTACTACCTTGTAGCCAGTTGCAAGTCATGCTTTTCCATTAAAGTCAAAAGAACAGTATCTATTTTGTACCTATGACTAAGTCCAATGCTCACCCAGAAATGGACTGCATTCTCTGAATTTTGTGTAACTTATTTTTTTTATCAAAGCAAAACAAAATCAAAATTCTGAAGCATTGAGATGAGTGAATTCTCTGGGGCCATAGAAGAGTTGTGGTATCTGCAAAAGTCATTGGAGATGCAGTCACTGCTCCCACTGTGGGAGGAGATATTTCCTCTATCAGAATCTCTGACTTGGACCCAAGGGGTCATGTGTTGGAAGCCTGATCATTACAGGCTCATGCCTGTAATCCTAGCTACTTGGGAGGGAGGCTGAAATCAGGAGATCATAGTTTGAGGCCAGCCTGGGCAAATAGTTCAAGACCCCATTTCCATAAAAATAACCAGAGCAAAATGAATTGGAGGTGTGGCTCAAGTGGTAGAGGGCTACTTTGTAAGTGTAAAGCCCTGAGTTCAAATTCCAGTCCCATAAAAAAAGAGGTGGAGCTTAATCTACAATAATTAGTTAGGCACCGGTGCTGCCCTGGGAAGGGATTGATGTGATTCTTACAGACCCTGGCTAGTTCTGCTCTCTCTGGCTATCTGTATCACCTTGTGATGTCTCCCTGATGCCATCTGCCATGCAGTCACGTAGCCAGGGGCCCTCACTGGAGCCAAGGGGGTGCTGACATCACGATCTGGGGTGCTGAGATTGTGGGCTAAATAATATGTTTGGGGGTAGCGGGGATCTGAACCAGGGCCTGTGCTTGTTAGACAGGTGCTCTACCACTTGAGCCATGCACCCAGCCTGTTTTTGCTTCAGTTACTTTCCAGGTAATGCCTCTCATTTTTGCTTAGGGCCAGTCTCAAGACTCAGACCACAATCCTCCTACCTATGGCCTCCTGCATAGCTGGAATTATAGATATGCACCACCATTACTGGCTTATTTGTTGGGATCAGGTCTCACTAATGTTTTGCCTGGGATAGCCTTGAACCATGATCCTCCTGATCTCCTCCTCTCAAGTAGCTGAGATTACAATCATGAGCTACCGTGCTCATTCTCTTTCCTTTATGAGTAACCTAGCCTCAGAAATTAATAGCAATGGAAAACAGACTAATATACTTAGCAAAAAGGAGACCCTGTTCAAAAGTGCTGCCTTTTCAATAATATTTACGGTAATAGTATAGATGTTAGGCAGACTTGAAAAGCAGTATGAAAGAAGGGAAACAATGCGGTCACTTCTTCCTCCATTCAATGCCTTTAGTCCCTGTTGATCTCTAAAGCCCAAACATCCTTTGTGGTGTGGCCTAATATTTTGCCCCAATATTTTCACTACACTATTCCAAAGACAGAAGGAGTGGCCAGGTCTGGAGTGTTACTGCTGCTCCCTACTTGAAAAGGCCAATGAGCTGGGACAAGTTGTTGGAGCAAAGACAAAGATGTATTTGGAAAGCCAGCAAACCAAAGAAGATGCAGGATGTGGCCAGCAAAAACACCCTGCCCTGTGGCAGGTACCAGGGAAGTCACCAGATGTTCTGGATTCTGCACATTTAGAGAAAGTTTTTATGGTTCGTGTTTCTTCTCCCAGGAATACTTAATTCTGCAGTTAATTGTCAGGATGCAAAAGGCGTCTTTTCCCCAGAAAGAAGGCGGAGCAAAGGGGTCTTTTCCCGGAGGTGCAAGGGGATGAGGAAAGCAACTGTCCTCTGCGAGGACGGCTTCCTCCCGGCACTCTCCTGCCCCAGAGCCAGTGGACACTATGTGCTGCCCAGCGACCCGACTTCCAAAATTACCGATTCCTTAAAAAGCCAATGAAGAGAACGTGAAGCTAGAGGGACGATAATCCAGCCCCAAGTGCCCACCCGAGTCCAGTGTGTCTTTAGTCTGTGTACCAAGGCCCATTTTAATCCAGTAAATTTTCCTGACCTCTATCCGAGAGCGATGAAGCCCCGCACTACGTAAGTGCTAAAGACAGGTTATAGTAATAACACTATCGAATAGGGAAAAGGGCCAGGGTAATTCTAGTTTAACTTCAGTTTGCACGGAGGCGACCGGTCATTCCAGAGAGAGGATGAAGAAATGGGAGTGAGTGGAGCAAGGAAATGATTTTGGCGGGGCTTTTTTTTCTTAGTTTAAAGCAACAGCAAAACACACCTCCACACAAACGCGCAGCGACACTCTTCTGATTCCAGCGCCCAGAACTGGAGCTGCGGCCAGGATAGAACTACAACTCCCAGCAACCCTGGCGCGAGCGAAAACACCCAAGCTTCCGTTCCGTCCTTCCCCTTCCGCCGGTAGCACCAGCCGGCCCAGCCTTCCGGAAGTCGCTCCGGATTCGAGCGTTTGGCGGCGAGGGAGCTGGAGCAACAAGCCCTGTTGCACCCTGAGAGGCAGAAGGTTCAGGACCCGGATAAGAGTGGGAAATGGAGACGCGGGAGGCTGACGTCACGTCCCCTGGGCGGGGTCGCACGCGTTCCCGCGCAAATTGAAAGGAGTTTCAGGTGTTGCTGCTTCGGAGTTGCCTGTATTCTACCGGACCCGCGGCGGTTTCAAAGTGAGTGAATGTGGGACGTTGCGGGCGGTTTTCAGGGTGTCCTCTCCAGCAGGCGGACAGAGCCCTTCCCTAGAAGTGATGGGCGCGGAGGCTAACGGGGGGCTCCCGTCGGTCCCCCAGGTCTGCGCGAGACCCAGTGTCTTCCAGGGAGGGAAGGCCAGCTTGTGGCGTGCGTGGGCCTCCGGACCCGGCGGGAGCGGACGCCTGGTAGTCCCACGGCGCGCGTGCCCCCGCAGAGTTGGAGCCCAGTGTTTCGTGCGATCTCCCCGCTTGCGGGGAAAGGTGACGAGGACTTGTTTTCCTCCACGCGCAGCCCCGGGAAGCACGGTGTCCTCAAGGGGCCTGCAGTCAGCGTCCGCGTCTCTCCGCGGGACAGGGGGACGGTGAAGTCGCTGCTGTTGTCACCTCAGGTGCGGCAAGTGATCGCCAGTGGGCCCGTGCCAAGCCAAGGGCGCCCGGTGCTGACTATGCCACAGAGGACGTGTTCACTCGGCCTGGAAGAAACTTACCCAGCCTCACGGAATGCGTGATGCGTGCGTTTCCTCCGCGTGAACAGAAGCGCCTCGTATAAGGACGGCCGTCGGGGCAGCCAGGGGTGTTTGTCAGACTGGACTGAGGACTGCGTCCTAATCGCGCGCCCCAGTCAGAAAAATTAGTGACTCAAAGCCACTGGGTGTTTCAGTGAGTCCCTCTGACGCTGAGAACGCCTGGACTAGAGAATCAGCCGTTTGGGTAAGGCCGCCCTCTCATGCGCCACTTTCCAAATTCCACATTTGGTAGAGACTTGCCTTGAGAAATGCCAGACAACGCTGGTGTTGCACGTCCAGAATCTCTGTGTAGACAGGGCTAAGGGGCTACCCGGGAGTGGGAAGTGAAAGCATTCTTCTTGCAACTGTGTTTGCACAGCCTCTTAGATGCACGTTTCTCTGGGACAGATTTTCAAGAGAATCTGACGGAGTTGTCCCTATGCCCCGCCACTGCTGTATTGCCCAGTGTTAATTGCTTGGAATAATGCAGTGAATTTCAGTACACAAAGGTACAGATCCATTTCTGTGATTTTGTTCATTTCATTTTTCTTCAGTTGGAGTCTCTACCTTTCTACAACCTTTTCAGTTTTTACTCCTGTGTGAATTTGCATATTGGCACTTTAATGGCCTTTTGTAGAGGCAGTGTGATGCCACAGCACGCACGATTTTGTAGATTTTTAAAGAAAGGAGAGGCTCATAAAATTTTATCACCTCTCTATTCTTAGGACTGTGTTAAGAGCTTGAGGCACACATGATTTCACACACTATGAAAGCACTTTGGAAAGAATAAACATTGAACAACTATCAGGTAGCATGAAAACGGTAGTTTAGGATTAATGTAAATTCTAGACTCTGAAAATTGGCAGGGAGGAGGCCAGTTATTAGCTAATTAGCTAAATAATAACAATTTCTGTGTGGGAGTTTAAACTTTATTTTTCTAAAGCTTTTTGGTAGACATTTTGCTGTAATTATTGCTGTTTTTCCCTCCATATCATGTAGTTAATTTAACACAATGGGGATACAGGGATTACTACAGTTCATCAAAGAAGCTTCTGAACCCATCCATGTGAGAAAGTACAAAGGGCAGGTGGTAGCTGTGGATACCTATTGCTGGCTTCACAAAGGAGCAATAGCTTGTGCTGAAAAACTAGCCAAAGGTGAACCTACTGATAGGTAAGTTTGGACCTGACATTAATTCTTTGAAAATTTGGAATGAAACAGTGCTTTTTTTTTTTTTCTCTCCCAGAAATGGATTTTCACTCAGTGCCAGAATTTATTAAGAAATGAAAGTTTGTGTTTTAGAATATTGCTAAATTTCCTTCTGTTCTATAGACCTAATGTTTATTCTTTTTATTACGCCAGAGTGTTTGTACACTAATGGTCAAAGACCAAAAATTATCTCCTTTATTCCTTACCTATGACAAACTTTTTAACGATGGTTTGAAAATCCATGATTTCAGAAAGTATATGGTTATAACCAAACACTGCTAATCTGTTAGCAAAATGAGTCAAAGGGACAAATATTTTGACTTTCTTTTACTTTACTTATAGCCAATCCTAGTGGGACCTGTTGACATCCAGTCTCAACTCTTGACCTCATTTGAGGAGATTTACTGGACATTTTTAAAAATAGAAGTATTAAACAAGTATAATTTTTGGACAGATTTTCCACAGAGATTTAGCCATACTATGTTTTTTTTTCTTTCACAATATATAATTTATCTCCTGGAAGAAAAGTTCACAGATCTTAATATGACTTAAGCATAATGCACAACAGGTAAATTAGGTTAGTCCTCTTTGTTTGCAAGAAGAAGGGGGTAGTTATGGTTAAATGAATGTTTGGGACTTTCAGGCTTATAGAGTTAATGTAACTAAAAGTAACAAAAGAAACCTGTAACAGTATGTGTGGAACCTGAAGTAGCCTGGGTACATCTACCACTCCAACTGCTAAGAGTTTTTTGTTTTTTGTTTTGGGGAAGTGTTGACAATTAAACCCTCCATGATAAGCATCTGGCCTACCACTGACCTATACCTCCAGCCCAAAGATAATTCTTTGAGAGCAATTTCTTTTCCAGGATGAATTTGAACAATTATAATTGTAGCTAAATGTTAAGTTTTTCATTGCTACTTTCAGGATTTTTTTGAATATTTCTTTGTGGGACAAACACCTGAGCTTGAGTTTTTTCTAATTAAGTTGTTAAAATTCGGGAGAGATGGAACCCACAGAGCCTACCCTTGAGTAGGTGCTTGATAAATGTTAACTGAACTAAAAAGTTTTAGGACTGTAAACAGTATCTGTTGTGTATTTTAATTAATCTCTGTTAATTTAGAAGTCATATTTAGTATAATTGATTTTTCCTTTTTTGTCCACCTTTGGATAGAGGTTTTAGCCAGAAAAGTCACCATCTCCTCAGAAAATTTGGATAAGTCTATGATAAACCTTTATAGTAGACCTGTGTGGGCTAACTTAAAAAAATGTCAGTGAAGTACCATGTATCTGATGCTATGTCCTTTAAAATTTATTATGATTTTATAGTTTTGCTTTATCCTAATTTTTGCTTTGATAGGTAATCAGTGGATCCTATTCACTGTTCCATACATCAGCAGGTCCTAATCATCACTCTTTCCTGACGCAGTTCCCATCTCATTGATGTACAACAAATAGAAAATAACGTTGTAGACCTGTCATTGACATGACTGTATTGATTTAAAAGACTGTCTTTTAAGATTGTGTTTTCCCGTTCCTATTTTGAGCTAAAATGTCTTTTTTCTTTATGAAATTATGGGAGTTTTAAGTCCAGCTGTTCTTGATACTGCCTTGTCAGAATACAAAACTGAAAGCACTACACAATCCCTGCTTAGATCCTGGATTTAGAAACAAATGGTAGAAACAAATGGTGTGCTGGAGCCAGCTTCTAGGAGGTCACTGCACATCATCTCTTTCCACCACAGCATTCACTGACTCCACATTGGCCCAGCCTATCTGCTACTGTGGAGTATTTGTGTCATGGAATCAGATGCTCTACCCTAGAACTGGTTGTTAAACCTTTACTAGGACATCTCTGATTAGAAGAAACATTCCTAGGATTATTGGACAAGTTTTAATTTAGACTATGTGTTAGATAATTCACTGTGTCACCATTAAACTTCTTGGCTATAATGTGCTATTGGAGAAATTAAGTGCTTAGTATTTCAGCTTTTCAATAGATGTGAAATGTTTCACACATTTAAAAATGGAGGAGGAAAGATGAGATTTAGAACAATTAAATGTCAGAAAGGATGTTGAAGCCCTTTAGTCTATAATTGAGGAAATCAGTGTCAATGGGCTTACAGCTATCACTTGGCTCGTAAGTGTACACGGCAGGATTTGACCCCAAGTCTAACTGAACAGTCCCATTTCCTATGAAAACTTTTTTTTTTTTTTTTTTTTTGTGGTACTGGGGCTTGAACTCAGTGCCTTCACCTTGAGCCATTCCACCAGCCCTATTTTTATGAAGGGTTTTTTCCATAGGGTCTCGCGGAACTATTTGTCTAGGCTGGCTTCGAACTAGGATCTTCTTGATCTCTGCCTCCTGAGTACCTGTGATGACAGGTGCGAGCCAGCGGTGCTGTACCAAAACATTTGTTGTTGTTGTTGTTTTTTAATCTTTTTCTTTTTCAAAATTGTTTCAACTGGGGCTGGCGAAGTAGCTCAAATGGTAAGAGTGCCTGCCTAGCAAGCATGGGGCTCTTGAGTTCAAACTCCAGTACCGACAATTTGTAAATAAAAATGTCATTCCTCAAAATTGTCTCAGCTGGTCTCTAAATAGAGCAGTAGTATTACATGAAGAGATGCAAAAGATTTATGTGTGTTTTCCCCATAGGTACGTAGGATTTTGCATGAAATTTATAAATATGCTACTGTCTCACGGCATCAAGCCTGTTCTCGTATTTGATGGATGTACATTGCCTTCTAAGAAGGAAGTGGAGCGGTCCAGAAGAGAGTAAGTTGATGAGGTACTTACTGTCTTAACAACTGTGCTCAGGTCAGATGCTGTAGGACATGTGACATCAAATGTTTAAACTCTTAAATTGTTGAAGTTTTTTTATAGCTTCCTACATGAACAAATTTCCTTAAATGTTCTGTTTGTTAGATTCTTATCATTTTAAGAAAGTGTCTAGTCTCTGCTTTTTTGTCTGGAAGCCCAAAGAATCTGAGTTAATATTCTCAAGGATCTGATGTGCACTTTCATGTGAGTCAAACTGCATTCCAGTCTAGCAAAATTTTTTAACGATCGTTTTGTCATGGTTATTTTTTTGTCAGCTTCTTAAATTTCTTGTATATTTAGGAGATATTCTTCCTTTGCAGAAGACGACAAGCCAATCTTCTTAAAGGAAAGCAGCTTCTTCGTGAGGGGAAAGTCTCAGAAGCCCGAGAGTGTTTCACCCGGTCTGTCAATATCACACATGCTATGGCCCACAAAGTAATTAAAGTAAGCCATTTAGAACAGATGGCTAAGTTCACTTAACATAGTTATAAGTTGCTAATTTATGGAAGGGCAAGGAAAACAAGGGAGGAAAGTTTTCCTAAGCCTAAACTAAAGTAAAGGACAGATGTCAGGACGAAGGGAAAGGTATCACTTAAAGGGAGGAGTCTTACAGTTTACAGGGGAAAAAAAATCCTATAAAGAATAAATGAGGCTCTTTCTTTTAGATAATTGCCTGGGATAGATGAATTGCATATTGTTTAATAATGATAGAGAGGCAGATTTCTAGGGGTTTCATTCTCACACCACCCTTATAATCTTAAGCACTTACCAGAACCTGCACTCTTGAGTACTGGTCAGAGATCTGTCTGACCCACCTTGCTGCCCCAGGCAGACTCCTCCTTGATCTGCTCCTGCTTGGACTGTTCTCTCCGCTTCACCTTGAACCATAGTGTCAGCCCTCACTTTCCCCTTTCTAGGACTTGTGTTCGGAGTGGCTTGGTAAAGGGTGATGATAAAGATAGGGTCAACTTTGTTCTGGCATGCAGTCCCGCTGTCCAGTTTCTGAGATAAAATAAGCACTGAAATTCCTATTTTGTGGTTCTGTATTATGTGGGTATTTCTTATCTTTCTGAATGGGTTAAGGTGGAAAGCAAGGATGCAGGAGAACATGTGACATATAGAGATAGCGTGTGTTCTTTATAACTGTAGAAGGGGAGGGGAGCCTCTCCTGTGTGGCACAGGAGCCCGGAGCGGACACAAATAGTGGTGCCAAAGGATTAGAGAGGGACATTGCTATGCAATGTCTGCTAGGCACATCTACTTGTAGTCACCAAAAGTGCTAACCACAGAATCTTGATGCCTCTTCCACCATTTCTTAACTCCCTAAAGCCTTTCCTTAGACCTTTAGTACCAAGGCTCAAGGTTTGGAACAAAGAAGTTTGTGTTTAAGTTACCTGTTAATCATGGCTTCTCTTCTTGGCAACATTATCTTGAAAGTGTTTTCCCTGGTTTAAGTACAGTGATTACAGTGTTGGATAGATGTGCGGACTGACAGGACAACCTGTTGTTTTTGTTGGGAAAATAGATGCAAAACTCCAGACAGGAATCTTAATATGCTTTTGCAACATAACCATTAAGATTGAAGTTTAGTTTTATCTGAAGTAATTAATTTTGTAGCCTGTAGGTTTTTTCCTTCCTTAGGATATATAGCAGTATCTCTTTTCTCTACATTTGTAAGTTTTAAAAAAAATTTTCTTAGTGATTGTGTGATTAGTGTAAAATATACTAGAACTAAAAGTAGAAAAACTTTCAAAGGACATGTTTTCTGAAAGTAATGGTAGCAGGTACATATTGAGGTTAGTAGCAAATGTGTTTCAAGCAGATTGTTGTTTAGTGTTCTCCATGTTCCATGCTGTATATTCACTGTGGTTTCTCTTACAGGCTGCCCGGTCTCAGGGAGTAGATTGCATTGTGGCTCCATACGAAGCTGATGCTCAATTGGCCTACCTTAACAAAGCTGGTATTGTACAAGCTGTAATTACAGAGGACTCTGATCTCTTAGCTTTTGGCTGTAAGAAGGTACTTAACTGCAGCGACTATGTGCTCCTCTTCTGTGTGGATAGAAGTAGTATAATTAGCTGGGCAGGTGGTATGTGCCAGTAATCATAGCACTTCAGAGACTAAGGCGGGACGATTGTGAGTTCGAGGCCAGCCTGGGCTACATAGTAGACTTGTCTTAAAAAATAAAATAAAACAAAAAGAAGTATATATCAAGGAGCTGAAGTTTTTCCTCTTCCAAACTACTGTTTTATTTAATATCTGCAAGTTACATCTGTTCTTATAATGATCATTATTATTTTGTGTAACACACAAAGTAGGATTTTGCTGCTTTACACTTAAGTGCTCTGGACATTTGTTCAGAATGAGAAAGATTTTTTTAGAATTATTACAGTGGATTAGATAATGATAAATCAAAGTGGTGTTTCTAGGTATTAACAAGTTTCCCCTCCTTTTGAAGGTGATTTTAAAAATGGACCAGCTTGGAAATGGACTAGAGATTGACCAGGCTCGGCTAGGAATGTGCAGGCAGCTTGGAGATGTATTCACAGAAGAGAAGTTCCGTTACATGTGTATTCTTTCAGGCTGTGACTACCTCTCATCCCTGCGTGGAATTGGATTAGCGAAAGCATGCAAAGTTCTAAGACTGGCTAATAATCCAGATATTGTAAAGGTAAGAGTGACCTACCAAGTGCCATATTCAACTTCTGAAGCATTTGTAAATAATAGAATGAATTCTGAATGTGGATTTTAAATACCCTACTAGTCAACAGTCAGTGTTACGCTTTTGAAAGGAACAGGTAATTAAAATGCTAGGATTCGCTTTTAACAACTAACAGACGTTGGAAGAACAATGGTTCAGCAGTTGTTAAATCCGTAGTAGTCTTCAAAATGAAGACTAGACTTCAGGGCAAAATATCTGGGGTAGAATTATTGCTGACCTTTATCACATTTGTTAATTCATTTAAACATATCGATAAACTCATTACATAGTAACATACATTCATGAAAAAACCATATTTTTCAAAACATAAACAATATTAGAGAAAAATTTACATTTATTGCCTATCTCCATAACATGGCTTACCATCTGCATTTAATCTCACTGGTAATCAGGTGGTATTTATCTTCTGGGAAACTCAGACACTGTCCATCATTGCTACTTGATTTCTCTGATACCCTTACCTCAGCTCATTTCTCCCCTTGGACTGTTCTATAAGGCCCTTAGAGCTGCAGAGCACAAGCCCCATGTTCTATTTTAAGAGTCCTCAGGGCTAAAGGGAAGTTAGTACAATGGAAAGAGCTCTAGGTAGGATGACAAGAGCCCAGGTGACAATAGAGAAACAGACCTCGCTAACCTGTAGTTTTCAGTTTTCTGGGTTTTCCTTCATCTGTGAGTTTGATATACTGTCATGTGTCACTTAATGACAGGGGTATGTTCTACGAAATGCATCATTAGATAGTTGGTCGTCGTTGAACTTTACCAGATGCGCTTACACAGAGTATGATGGCTGTTACGTCACGTGGCAGTGTGGTCTTATGGGCCATGTTTGTCTGTGTAGTGTGATGTTGAGCAAACCTTGTGCTGTGTGTGACTGTACAGCCTGAGTGCCCTTGGCTACCGGAAATTAGAATGTTGACTTAGCTTTCAAAATGTGATCTAAGATTATCTGAATTTTTTTAGTTCTTAGATTCTTTAAGTTTGTGTTTTGTTTTCTGGATTAAAGGGAATTTGAGACTCAATAGCATGTCTTAAATTTATTCCTCAGCATAAACTTGATGTGTAATTGCATTTTTGGTCTTCTGGACTAATAAGAGAAAAGTCAAAGAATGAGAATTTGTGATATGACATAGTCATGTTTGCTGGTAATTTTTGATGTAGATGGAAACATGAATGTTCAGGTTCTCACTCTGTAAGCAGTCAGTCTTGTGCTTATTACATTCCCTGTTCAGTTGCAGATGAAATGTTTTTGTATCCATTGTTAGGTTATCAAGAAAATTGGACATTATCTCAAGATGAATGTAATAGTACCAGAGGATTACATCAACGGATTTATTCGAGCCAACAATACTTTCCTTTATCAGCTAGTTTTTGATCCCATCAAAAGGAAACTTGTCCCTCTGAATGCCTATGAAGACGACATTGATCCCAAAACACTAAGCTACGCTGGGCAGTATCCTTTCTGAACCACAGTGGTTGAGTTTTATGGTTCTTTATCCATTAATACTATTAGTAGTATTATTACAGTATTTTTATGGAGACTTTCAGTTTAAAAAAATTGCAAATTGTTTTTTTCTTTCTTTTTCATAGTGAAAATACCACATTTCATTCATTATAATTTCATGCTAGTGAAAATTTAATTCTGTTTGTAAACTTGAGGCTCCTCTGCTGTATAATGGAATTACTGAGATGACTTGACAGATGTAGGCAGTGGGTCAGTCTCTAATGGCACACACTCCAGTTCCAAAGGTGGCACTTGAGAGAACCCCTGTGGCAAGCAAGCTCACCCATAGAGGGGCATTCTGGGCATGTAAGTGCACCAGGGGAAGATGCCCTTCCCATGACTGCTGGCCACCAGCACTGAGACTGAGGCAGAGCTCCCAGTCATTTAGGTGGTGGCCAAAACTTTCCCCTATCTCTCTCGAGAGAGTGAAAGTGATGACTCAGGGCTTGGCTTCAGAAGATGGCCAACTCCTGCAGGGACACACAGAGACCAGCAAGCTACACCTGTTATTTTAGTAATTATGCTATGGAAAGTTAAGTAGAATCCATCTGATTCCTCAACCTTCAAAATTTCCTGTGATGATAGAAAACATTTTCCTATCTCAGTACAGTAGCATCTTATTGGTTGTCAATAATGACATTTTTCCTTAATCTTACCAACCTAGGTATGTTGATGACACTATAGCTTTTCAAATAGCACTTGGAAATAAAGATATAAATACTTTTGAGCAGATTGATGACTACAATCCAGATACTGCTATGGTAACATTTTAATGACTGCTATAGAAAATCACGTTTTAGTTATATTTCAAGAGCTGTGATTAAAAGCAAATCTGTTTACTAAGCATCTTTGAAGCATTTCTGTATCTGTGCACTGTATACATATACACTGAAAGTAACAGAGAAATTCTCTTTCAAAATGTATCTGTATTAATTTTTTTTGGGTTTTTTTTTTTTTGTGGTATTGGGTTTGAACTTAGGGTCTTGTGCTTGCTAGGCAGGTCCTCTAACCATTTGAGCCATACCCCAACTCCTTGTTTTTAAAATTAAAAAGTGACTGTATTGTATATTATCAATCAAACCTTTAGACTTGAGCATTTCATGTGAATATACCAAGCATTTGATCCTTTTTTTTTTCCATCTCACCCCATTCTGGTTCTCTGGCATTTGATATTATTGAAAATCCAAACCTAAAAATACTACCCTTTAATTCATGCTGTTTTTTATTGACTCTTAATTTAGCAAATATTTAGTGAGCGCCCCTGTTGTGTCTTTGAACTCGTTTTCTACATCGTGTATCTCTTAAGATACTGTCTTCTGTTAATCTCTCTTCATATTTCTGTTCATTTTCTATTCTTTTCTTATTCACATTTTTTTTTCTGTAAGTTTTTAAGACTTTTAGTTTATCTTATTTATCCAGAGAATCCACAAGTGTCTACCTCTGCCTTTACCCATCTCTCGTCTATGTACCAATCTCATAATTCTCATTGTTTTTTGGTTCTCCACATAAATGTTTTTTCTATAACCTCAATACATGAACCCAAACTGCATTGTTTATCAGCTTCCCTTAATATTGCTCTTATATTTTTCTTTTTGCATACTTATTACCTTAGGCTTCTTCTCTTGTTCTTTTTCTGGTTCTTCCCAATAGAAAATAATCTTCATAAAGGTGAGTATTTGTGATCTTTGCTGCTATATTGTATTTACCACAGTTATTGGATGAACAAATGAATGTCAGTTATATGATAGCTTTTATTTTCTTAGACTAGAAAACTTGGAAATTAACTTTGGCTTCTCATTAATTGCTTAGATTCCTTGCTTCTTTCAGTTATCTTTTTAGTTTATCTTTTTAGTTCGTATTTCTGTTTTATGATCTTCAGTCTCGTCCAAATGTTTTTGCCCTTGCCCAGTAGGCTCTATGGACACAAAAGGCATATGCCTAACTCCACCTAAGAATAGAATGCTTCATGATAATAACAGTTCTGAGCATGTACTGAATTTCACGTGGTACTCTAAGCACCTTAGACACAGTGACTCTTATAATCACCAGCCTCTGAAGTTAGTACTATTTTCATTTTATAGTTGAGAGAGGAATTATAGGGAGGTTAGGTAACCTGCTCAAGTCACACATTTAACCCAACCCATCCTTTCCATTGTTTGATCAAAGAGAAACCAGTGTGTGTCCTTGGTTTGCAAGGATTAGTAAATAGGAGTTTTCAAGACTGAGTGATTCCAGGCTGAAGAAAATGGCATGTGTAGAAGAAGATAAAATGCTAAGAGAATTCTTAGGATGTTCATTATTGTCAAACAAAGAATGTCTTAGAGTTCACATAAAGGAATCAGAACCCTGAGCCTGAAGAAGATAAACCGATGACCAGTTGAGCACTGAAAAGTTATCTTTACTGTCAAATAAGTCAAGCCTAGCAAGAGAGCACCGTAATCTTCACAATGATAATATAAGAGGACTTTATGTCAATCATCTCAGATTACATGAACTTTATATTCATGCTGCTATATCCTTTTTATCAGCTAGTCTTGCACTATCCAGGATGGTAGCCACTAGTTACAATGTGGCTACTTAATTAAATTTACTCTTTTAGTTCATGGGTTGCATTAGCCTCACATTTTTTTTTATTTCTACTGGCGTATTTTGAAACCTAAGGGCTACTTTTTTTTAATTGTACTTCTGTTTTTTTTTTTTAAGTTCTGTATCATGAATACAGTCTCTTACCTTTCTGAGAATATTAATTTCTTGGGCATTTTCTTTTATTTGCATTATCTGTTTTCTCTGAAATTTTTTTTTTTTTTTTGAGGGGTGTTTGTAGTAGACACTTTGGAGAGGCACTGAAAAGCTTATCAGAAGCTGAATGGGAGGCTTATGGTGTTGGGCTTTATTCTTGGATGATCTAAAGAGTAACTGCATTTGCTTTGTGATCTCTTCACTGCTAGAATGTTTTCTGTATAGTATATTCTTCCATAAAGGGACCCTCCAGTTTCTACTTAGGGTATGTAAACTTGGCTGTCTGCATTTTGAGAGCAGTGTAATGGATGTTGTGATTTGGGGCAAGCTAAGAAGGGATAAAGTGGTTCCTTGCCATCCGGAATTTAGCTTTCTATTTAATCTTGTTTTCAGACAAAGAATTTCCACCTTCTAAAACATTAGCTGTTTTTTTCTGGGTTTCAAAAGTCCAGTTGCTCTGATTCTGTCGGTGAATGGTGTTGAGTTTCTGGTCAGGCTGAATACAGGGGCCCATTAGTCAAATAATTCATCCCTTTTCAGCCCTTCCATCATATGTGGCCACCATGATATCTGGTGCTTGATGTTTATGAGCCTTTCTCCAGGTTTTTGCAGGTGGAATCAGTTTCTCATTGGTATTCCCTTCTGTAGGCACTTGGGTCTTCTAGTAAGTCTTTTAGACATTTTTATCTATACTCTGTCCTCTCCAGTATAGAAGTATCTGGTGTGGTATAGAGCCATCTTCACGAAAGAACATAAGAGTATAGAGCAGGGTTGTGGCTTAAGTGGGAGAGCACCTGCCTAATATGCGTGAGGTCCTGAGTTCAAATACCAGTACTGCCAAAAAAAAAAAAAGCGGATACATAAAAATGTTTACTTGGCCATTAAACATTTGAATTTGGTGATACCATAATTTCATTAGGAACGATTCTTAAGCTTTTTGGTCACAAAAATTAAAAAATAGTTGGTAGTACCGAACATGTCCAGTTGAACAGCAGGGTTATGATTGTTAACGTGGCCATCATCCATAAACCCAAGTCCCTGCCAGAACTTCCCTTTTCATAGAGAAATTAATTAATTCCAGTATATGTAGGAGTTTGTCATGTGGGATTCATGTCTGAAGTAATGCCATTTTTTTGTATCTTAATTTTTTTCTCTTTGTCCCTCTCTTAGACTATCACTGACATTTTCTTAGCGGATCATTGTCTTGATGTAATAATTGTTAACAACTTATGTTAGCATTAAAAGTGATTACTTATACTAACTAGCATTAAACCCCTTCTGAGAAGTTTTATGCAAGGCTCAGTGCTCAGTTTAGACCAAAGTATACTTCTGTTTCTCAGTGTTGTGCACTAAAGATGGTACCAAATTTGGGTCTGATGAAACCTAGTAGTACTTTGTAACTGAAACTGTTTTGGTTTGAGGTCAACCAATTTCTAGAGATAGGATAGCTGATTACTTATTCTTATGGTTTATAACCGTCAAGTGCATTTTAAAGAGTACATAAATGATTCTTTAGAGGCATATCACCAGATACTTCATTAAAATCTGTTTCTTTTTAAGAATAATATAATGTATTTATAATTTATGTTGATACAGAGGGAAATGCATTGATTTATTTTCCTTCAAGTAACTTTTTCCTTTTCTAGCCTCCCCCCTCAAGAAGTCATAGTTGGAGTGACAAAGGATATCAGAAGTCACCTGCTGCTAATAGCATTTGGCATAAGTATTACTGCTCTAGACTTGAGTTGGGTCCTGTTTCAGATGCTACACGGTTGAAGGAAAGCCCAAGTACTGTGGGCATTAAACAAGTAATTAGTACCGAAGGGTTAAATCTTCCAAGGAAGTCATCCATGGTAAAAAGACCAAGAAGTGGTATGTATTTTACTTTTGTAAAATGCTAGCATTAGTGAGTACTGGTTAAGAAATCTTTGCCAAGCCCAAGGTCACTAATATTTTCTTCTACAAGTTTTGTAATTCCAGCTCTTACATTTAGGCCTGTGGGTTCTTCCCTAGTATTGCAGATTGATCCCAGGGCCTTTTTCTTGCTGCCATTCCAGCTTTGTCCCCCGTCCTTTTGTTTTTGAGATAGGCTCTTGCTGACTTTGCCTAGACTAGCCTTAAACCTGTGATCTTTCTGCCTCTGCCTCTTGAGTAGCTGGGTTACAGACCTTTTCACCAGGCCCAGCTGCTATGATCTGTTTTGAGTACCACCTACCCCCACTCCTATACCTGGGTTTGAGCTCAGGCCTCATGCTTGCTAGGCAGATACTCTACCACTTGAGCCATGCCCCTAGCCTGTTTTTGTTCTTTAGTTTTTTTGTTTTGTTTTCTGTTAGGATCTCATGTTTTTGCCCAGGACCAGCCATTTTCCCACCTGCAGCCTCCTGAGTAGCTGATATTAGGTGGCATGAGAGCCACCTCGACCTGCCCTTAAATCTTTTTCATGATAATATCTCTGAACCTTTGTTTGTCATTTGAAATGAGAACGATCCTGTCTAATTCACAAGTTCTTGTAATGTTACATAGCAAGGTATGTGAAAGCACCTGGTACATAGCAAGAACATGATACACATCAGCTCCTTCCTGTTCTTACACTACCATTAAGATAGTCTATTCACTTTATGTAGCCAGTTCATTATCAGTAAGTTCTGTATGCCAAACTAAGCTTCCTTACAACCACCACTTATCAGTGGAATTTTTCCATGGGCCTGTGCACAACACACACACACACACACACACACACTCTCTCTCTCTCTCTCTCTCTCTCTCTCTATTGGAATAACTTTAGTCCTGTTGGTCTTTGGATATTTAGAGATGCCATTGTGACCCTGCTGAATTTCTCTTCCAGGCTAAGGTTGAGGTTGTGCTTTGGATAGAATACAGTACTTTAATAGTTGTCTCATTGTGAGTAATGACTGTTGATATGGTCTGCTTACTACAGACTACATTAAATATTTGCAGTCATGACACTCTTTCAGTTCTTTATCAAACACTGTGCTTTTAGCTTCTATAAGCCTGCTTATGATTTTTATGGCATTTTCTGAATTTATAATTGAATTTTTCAAGTTACTATTAAGTATAGGTCTTGTTATTCCTGTTGTAACCTTTATTCTGCCAGGTTTTTTCACATACACCCTCTTTATAAAAATTTTTGTGTTATCTTGTAATATGTGAGTCATTTGGAAGTTAGATAAATGTGGTTCCCTGCATCTTAAAAGTTTTGGTTCCATTGTGTTTGCTTGTATAATGTTTTAACTGAATTAGAGCAAGTATAGGAATCAGAGCACATGAGACTGACTTCTTTTCAGACTAACAGTCAGCAGTAATCTCTAAGATTGTACAACTTGTTTCAGATCTGTGTAACTAATATGCAGTAGGTGCTGCTATACATTGTCCACAGTGATAATGTGAGTGATATGAAGGTGTCCTGCTTAATTCAAGATATGCTCAATTACATAATTACACTAGACAGCTATAGTAACAGCCTTAACCTAATGAGAAGATGGGTGTGACTGGTTCTTGGAGAAGCCTTGCTGGGATCCTAGATACATGTTTTTTTCTTCCAAGGACTCCTACCTCCCTGTATAATAAACAGATTTAGTTTTTACCTGGGATGAAGATGTTTCCTGATTGATAGCTTTTTAAAGATCTATGTTTAAAGGGTTGGGAATATAGCTCAAGTGGTAAAGTACCAGCCCTAGTGCAAGGCCCTGAGTTTAAACCTCAGTACCACCAAATAAATAAATAATAAAGAAATTTGAATATTTTTCTCTAGTTTTTGGTACTCCAAATACAAGATTGTACGGTAGTATAATCTGTATACCTTATGCCTCTGTGGAGTGGAAAATGTTCAAACTGTGAGAATTAGTTGAGCTAATTTAAAGCACCTTAGCATATCTGTGTGTCCTAACCCATCTCAGTCTTTGACTTTGTTTTGTGTTCTGTCTTGGCCTTGTTCTAATACCACAGAATGCACTTGACAATCTTCTCAGGCCTCATAGCTAAAGAGGATCTGAACTAGAGCACAAATTAATTTTGATTATATGATAGTCACGTATACCTCAAAAACCATAGCACACAGATGGTATATAAAATAATCATTAATCATATGTAAATTGTCCCAACTTTTTTTATATCCAAAATTAGATGCTTAAAATAATAAGCATGTAGTCATATGGACTTGATTATGTCTTGAAATTTTGATAAGGGTAATTTTACTTAAAATTGTTAACAATTTGTAAAATTATATAGATAAGGGAATTGTTTTTAAGTCATCTTATGTTTCCTTTTGTGAGGCATAGTTTAAAAAAAAAAAAGTATGACTCAGGATATGGCTTAAGTGGTAGAGCCTTGCATGTTCAAGGCCCTGGCTTCAATCCCTAGCATCACAAAAGAAAAGTAAAACTTGACCTTTACAACTGCAGAATAGGAACTACTGTGAAGACAACGGCAAGTCTTTTACTACAAGTGAAGTAAGGACTAACAGATGACTTTGTTTTTATGTAGAAGAACTATCAGAAGATGATCTGTTGAATCAGTATTCTCTTTCATTTATAAAGAAGACAAAGAAAGATATCTGTGGAAATAATAAATTATTGAACACTTCTGAAATGATTGTGCCTGACCTGGGAGATGGAGCTACTCACACAGAAAGCTTAAGCACAGCACCTAGGACAAGAAATAAATTTGCAACATTTTTAAGGAGAAAAAACAAAGAAAGTGGTGCAATTGTGGTTCCAGGGACCAGAAGCAGGTATAGTTATATTTTCAGAATGTTCTTTGTTGTATTATGTACTCTGCTGATACTTAACTTTGTCTTGAATTAATTGATAAGGAGAAGTAGGTATAAGACCTTGGTGTGATTATAATTTTGTCATATACAGACAGTTCCTGATGTGTTGATTTAACTTAAAATTTTTCCATCTTATAGTGGTGTGAAAGGGTTTTGCACTTATTAGGAACTGTACTTTGATCTTATCTGAGGCTTGTGATAGGTAGTATGATTTTCTTGTGATGCTGGGCATCAGCAGCAGCCACATGCTCACAAGAGGAGGCAACCAATACTGTTTGGTTCACTGTGTGTATTAAATGTACTTTCAGGGCTGGTGGAGTGGCTCAAGGGGTAGAGTGCCTGCCTAGCAAGCACAGAGCCCTGAGTTCAAATCCCAGTATATATACATCAAAAAAAAATGTACTTTCAGTTTAGTATTTTAATTTACTCTGGGTTTACTGGGACATAATCCCATGTAAATTGAGGATTTTCTGTACTGCCTTAGTTCAGCAATGCATTGCTATTTCCTTTAACTTCTAATAGTTCTCTAGTCTCTTGATACAGAATCAAAATAAGGATAGTAGCCCCTAAGGTTACATTTCACATTACAAAAATTCTGATATTTTTAAGGGCGTTCCTTTTCCCTTTTTCCTTATAGTTTCTTAGAGGACTTTATAACATTTTGCAGAAATATATTAAAATGTAGATGACTAAAGATTTGTAATATTAGCTGAGAACCTGAGTCCATGCTGGGTGCTGTGATTACAAAAATGAAAAAGACATTTTTGTTATTGAAGTACTTGTAGTTCAGTTGGAAAAACAGGTTCATAAGGTTTTTCCACAGTGTGTTAAGTACAGGGATCAGGGCATGTGTAAGGAGTGAAAGGCTGGGGCTGGTAGGAGGTGGGTGTCCCTGTTGACTCTAAATGAACAATAAGTAAACAAAGAGTCCAGCCACATTCCTTCCAAACAGAATCGAGCAGGTCCGGTAAAGTCGATGGTTGTGGCTACTATTCCTACTGCCAGAGTGCGAGCTGGGGGAAGGTATGATGGGGAGCAAAAATAGGCCAGTTCACGGAAGGCTTATGTGCCAAACTAACAGCCTTTTCTCTTCCTTAGAGGTGGTGGGAAATACTTAGAGGTTTTAATGAGGAAGGGTATGATTCAGTGCCAGTTTTAGATAGACCAAGCCCGATGAAGATAGGATTTAAAAGGCCCAAAGTGGAGTACAAGCATCAGATTGGTTAGGCTATTGCCATAGTTACAGCAAACGGCAATGAGATTTTGAAGTCAGTGCTCTGGAGTCTGGCCACCTGTATTTCGGTCCTGGCCTATTCATTCATGAGATGTTTGATCTGAGAAACATAACTTCTGACGGAGTGGCTCAAGTGGTAGAGCGCCGCTTGATAGCAGACGTGAGATCCTGAGTTCAAACCCTGGAACCGGTGGCTCACGCCTGTAATCCTAGCTACTCAGGAGGTAGTGATCAGGAGGATCGTGGTTCAAAGTCAGCCTGGGCAAATAGTTTGCGAGACCCTATCTTGAAAAAACTCTTCACAAAAAAGGCTGGTTGAGTGGCTCAAGGTGTAGGCCCTGAGTTCAAACCTCAGTATAGAAAAAGAAGAAAAAAGTTCTGGGTGCTTAATTTTCCACTAGACCTCCCAAGTCAGATGTGTTGGCTCATGCCTATAATTCCAGCTGCTTGGAAGGTAGAGATTGAAAGGATTGGGGTTTGAGACCAGCCTGAGCAACAAGTTGTTTAGAACCCATCTCAACCAATATGTTGGGTATGGTGGTGCATACTATAATCTCAGCAATATAGGAGGCTATAGGTAGAAGGATTGCAATCTGAGGCTGGCCCTAGGCAACAACATGAGACCTTACCTTAAAAATAGCTAAAGCAAAAAGAGCTGATGGTATGACTCAAGTTGTCATAAGGTCCTGAGTTCACACCCCAGTACTGCCAAAATAAAATTAAAAAAATAAAAAGGCCCTTCACCCACTGTTGTGGTGCCCACCTATAGTCCCAGCACTCAGGAGAGAGGATTAAGAGTTTGAATATGTAGCAAGACCCTGTCTGGAAAAAAAGAGAATTATGTCTGTGCTTTCCAAAGTGTTAAGTACAGTTCATTCAGCATTCCTATCTGTTAATTAAACTTTGGAACACTGAAATGGGCTAGGGAAGGTTAGTATTGCCCTATCCATTTACCTCCCAGCCTTCAAAATGAAGAGAAAACAAGATGAGGCTGAGGCTGACAGTTGGAACAACTCAGGGTGGTTGAGAGAATTAAATGGTTTGTGTTAAGTCCTGGTAGGTGATCAGTGTCCCATGCATTACTCCTGTTGACTTTGAATGGTAGTATGTCTCAGCCCATGTTCTGTTGCCATCACTAAATGCTGCAGACTGGTAATTTATAAATAATAGGGGTTTATTTAGCACATGTTTCTGGGGGCTGTGATGTCTAGGGGCAGACATGGTGCTGGCGCCTTGGTGTCTGGCCAGGGCCCTCTTGTCATATCGTAGCATGGCAAAGGGTACCAGTCATATGGTGAGAAAGAGCAAGTGTGCTGCCTCAGGTTTGTCTTTCTCCTCTTAAAAACCATAATGCCATCATGGGGCTTTACCTTCATGACCTCATCTAACTAATTGCCTCCAAATTCCATAAGCTTTTCAGTTTGGGGATTGACTTTCCCCATACATGAACTTTTGGGAAACACATTCAAATTGTAATGGGTACCATAATCTGTAAAAGGAAATGTTGAGTGTCAGAAGTCATCTAGGCATCATATAATAACTCTTAAACAAGAGAGAATTTGCCAGTCACTGTATTCTTCTGGAAGACTTAGAATGAATGTTGTTTGCTGTTCTTCAAGTTTAATAGGTGAGACTGCAGTGGGAGATAGGCATGAAGGAGCCTGGTAGTCACTAGGCCTCCGTCTGCATGCTGTTTTCAAACCCTCTCCATGGAGCCTGCTCAGGTCACAGCACCATATAGTTACAGATCATTTTGATTCTTCTGCTACATCCTCAGTAAATGTGGAGTGTTGAAAAAGAAAGTCGCAAAAGATACTGGAATACACTGAATGAAAGGTGCCAAAAGCTGACTGTTGTCACTTGGAGGAATGACTGGAACTTGGTTTTCTTTTCCCTTCATGTGAGAGTAGGCTGTCTTCTGCTTAATGTTGATATCTTCTTTGAAGATGATGAATAAAAATACTAACTGTGTATCTCTGTAGGATTTGCTTAGGTAGTGATTGTAGAAGTGTAAGGAATCTCCAAGTTGGAGACTATACACACCTATTTTATATAGTTTATTTACAGATTGTTTAGGTGGACATTGAGATGCCTGGATAAATAATTTTTTTCTATCAGTTTCCTGTGAAATACTAATGGAAGTATGTCTTTGATGTGTGATTTTCTGATCTGGGTTATAATAGCAACATCTAATTAAAATAGATTTCAAAGTTAGTTTTTAGCCAAATGTGGTAAAAACACATCTATAATCCAAGCACTGAGGAGGTTAAGGCAGGGGACAGCCTAGACTACATAGTGAGATAGTGATACCCTATCTTAAAAAGAAAAGAAAACAATAACAAAATGAATGATTTTCAGAATTGAGATTGAGACTCTGAAGGGTTAAGTTTTCCCAGGGTGGTCACAGTTGATGTGAACAGTCTGACAGGCCTGACTTTCTGATTCTGAATTCTTGCTCTATCATCTTACTGCTTGAATGATTTTTTTTTGTGTGTGTTTGTATGTGTGGTAGTGGGGTTTGAACTCAGGGCCTATACCTGGAGCCACTCCACCAGCCCTTTCCAGTGATGTGTTTTTTTGAGATAGGGTCTCGAGAATTTTTTGCCCAGGCTGGCTTCGAACCTTGATCCTCATGATCTCTGCCTCCTGAGTAGCTAGGAGTATAGGCATGAGCCACCAGGGCCCAGCACTGAATGATCTTGAACTCACCAGACTTTTTTTTTATAAAACATGGATGATGATATGATAATAATATAAAGCTGAAGCTCTGTATACGAACCACTGGCACAGGGCCTCATCATTAATAGATGAGCAGATGTGCACGTCACCCCTCTCTTTAAACCTGCAAAAAGTTGTCTGATCTGTTTGAAAGTCTGTTTTATTATGCCAACACTTCTCCTAGAAATATTTCAGTCTATTTTTTGAAATCTAGAAATACAATTTTAAGTAATACCATAGGGAAGGAGTAGCCATGACCTGGGGACAGGGGCAGGGGTGTGTGGGGGGGTAATAGGTTTTAGTTCTGCTCTCTAGTTGACTAGTTTTATAACCTGGATGCTGTCTCAGCACCTTCTCTTCACCTGTGAAGTGATACATGGGAAAACCATTGGGCATCACAGAAGTACTGTGAATTTGTGATCAGATCTGGGCTCTTAGGTATTCTACCTATAAAAAGCCTACTTAAGGCTTCCCTTCCTGCCCTATACTACAGCTGATCTAGGGATTTGATGAAAGACAAGATTTTTACTCCCAACATTTAGTAAATATTCTAGTTATCATCTTGGATTTGGAACAGTGCTTATTAAGGAGGTAAATTTTCTTTAAGTTTCATACATACCTGATCATCGATTCTAGGATTTTCTTTCTAAACTGAAAAGCTCTCCTTGAATCAGTCCTCTCTTGATACTTATGTACTGGTCTTTCAATCTTTTTTTTTTTTTTTCTTAAACTGCTTCACTGAGTAACTACTGTGTCTTCAGTAAATAATGGAGTTTAATGATTGATTTTAAAGTCTTAGCCTCAGTATTTAAAATAGCAGGTTAAAGGATAGAAAATAAGAGTAGGGTCTTGCTACAAGTTCCCAGGTGACTTAATGCTAGGAAACTAGGTAAAATGAAGTTGGTGCCTTAATTTATTTTGCTTCCTATGAAATATGAGGCAACAGTTGAAAATTGTCCTTTGTTGTATTTCTATCTATCTGTTCATGTATTTGACTATGTGTAAGCTGCTCACCTAGGTACTGTGGAGGATGTAAAGATATGGTCAGTACCTGCTTTGGAAGAGCTTAACTTCTTTTTTTTTTCTTTTGGTGGTACTGGGATTTGATCTCGGGGCCTCACATTTGCTAGGCAGGCGTGCTACCACTTGAGCCACTGTGCCAGCCCTCAAGAAACTTAACTTCTGTTTGGGGGTTAAAACGGCTAAGGGAGAGAACAACTATGTAATGATTATGTCCAGATAAAATTTGGAGTCCTAAATATATGTGCATATAACTGCTTGCCCTTATTTGGAAAATTTTATCGAAAACTTCATTATAAAGTCAAATTTCTAAATGTGTGAATGATGTAATCAACAAAATTCAAGATGTGTTGCCTTTACTTATGAAATTGGGTTATCTGTGAAACTTTTTTTTTTTTTTACGGAACTGGATCATTATTCTGTTTTGAATCTTTTTTTTTTTTTCAGTAAAAGTAATAGTAAAGTTTATTAGGAAAGGCTTACACTTTCAACAGACTGAAAGTGGGTTGTCTCTAGAGTGAGAAAAACAGGGTCGGGGGGGAGAGAAAAAGTGGTATTTCCTGTTTCCCACACAGGAAATGAGAGCAAAACCTCTCTTATTTTGAATCTTAACATCCTTGTGAGTTAACTCTAAAATACCTATAATTATTGTTCCTATTTCTTGTTAGGTTCTTTTGCAGTTCTCTGGATTCTGTTGACTGTGTATCAAAGGAAGTAAGTAGCCAGTCTATAAATGAAACCGCTGCTGCAGATAAAGCTACTACTCTCAGTGAGTCAGACTGTCCAGATGTAGAAGGCCAGAAGCTGGTTGACACAAATGTGCAAAATTCAAGTGATCAGATTTCAAATGACAGGACTGTGTTTGCTGATGATGAGTCTCCATCTTCCCAGACCAGCAAATTCACGAGGACTGTTTCACCACCCACTCTGGGGACACTAAGAAACTGTTTTAGTTGGTCTGGAAGTCTTGGACATTTTTCAAGAACTCCAAGCCCCTCTGCAAGCACAGTGTTGCAACAGTTCCGAAGGAGGAGCGATTCCCCTACCTGTCTCTCAGAGCACAAGGCCATGTCTGATCTCTCTCAGTCAAAGAATGATGAGTCAGGCGATGAAGCTCAGCCTTTACATGAGATGGGCTGGTCCTCACAGTCTCAGGAAAGCATAGAGTTATCCCCACACAGTTTAAATGCATCAAAACTCTCTCAGCCTTCTAGTAAGGATTCTGACTCAGAGGTAAGTCAAATCATAAAGTCTTTGTTTTCAAATGCATATGTAAGAGAAAGTAAAGCATTAATCAGACAACTGAAAATTTTGCCTGCATTATGGAGATGACTGGTTACTTTTTCATTCTAAATCCTACTGTGTAGAAAGTTACCATTTTATTCATTTGTAAGACTTCTGTGTCTGTCATTTAAACTAACTCTGCTTCCTGAATCACAATGTATTTCCTTGAAGGGACTCAAGTTGTGCACAGTTAACACCTAAGCAGAATTGTAACCTTTAAAATGAAGAATTACTTTAAATTTACTATTTAAATCTGTTACTATTTAATATAATCTTGAATTCAGGTTAACGTTTGAGAATTAGAAAGAAATGAGTATTAATGTGTTGGCTGTATTAATATGCTACATTTTAGTACTTCAGAAATAGTTCCATTTATTCTTTTTTCTGCTAAATTTCTTTTATAATAAGAATAAAATAGCAATTTTGTTAAATCCCTTTTTCTTAAAACCTTTTATTCTGACTTCAATTTGACTAAAGTCAGAACTCCAAAATTATATGTCACTGAATCTTATGAGCAGTACTTACTTGAAGTGACATATTTTTAAATGACATAATAACATCATAACATTTTTTTAATCTCCATTAGCTCATATTTACCAATGTAAGAAACTGGGGTTTTTTTTGGGGGGGGGTTGCTACTAGGGGGATTTGAACTCAGGAAGGACCTCACATTTGTAGGCAGGTGCTCTACCATTTGAACCACTACCCTACCCCGTTTTTACTTTAGTTGTTTTCCAGTTTTTGCTCTGGACCAGCCTTACTTCATAATCCTCCTACCTACAGTCTCCCATATAGCTCGGATCACAGGCATAACTTATTGACTAATATGGAGTCTCGCTAACTTTTTGCCCCAGCTGGCCTCAGACTGTGATTCTCCCTATCTCCACCTCCTGAATATGGGGTTATAGACGTGAGCCACTGTACCTGACACATACACTGTTTTATGTTTACCAAATATAGTTACCACATTGTGAGAACAATTAGAGCCATAGTAATATTTAACAAAATTTTGATGTCTGATAATCCTGAATTTTGGGTAGCATCTAATAAATTAGTATAACATATATAAATACTCAAATTCAGAAAGGAAACTTGAGTTTATTGGATTCAAGTTGAAGAAAAAAAGCCAAGTTAAAATGTGGAGGTAAGTTGCTCTGCCTTGGAGAAAGCCCAAATCAGCTTATATACTGGAATCTTAAGTCCTGAGTATGCCAGGCCAAATCTTTGCTGTTGTTGAGACCTTTGCCTTTCTTTTCCTTTTCTCTTGCCTCAGTTTGTCCTCCGGGCCTAGAAGGTTCTTTCTGTTTCTTTAAACGAGCTGCCGCTGCAGGCTGCATTTTCTCTCTCTCTCGGTGCAATTTGGGTGTCACCATGGTTGCCACTGCTTCAGTGTCTTTCATAGAAACTTCACTATTTGGAGGATACTTGCAAGTCCACTGAGCAACTTTGGGACATTCTGTTTCTTGCACCCATCTTCCAGTTTCACTTACTGAGAAGCCTTTCTGACCAGCTGGCAGCTGTAGGCTGGTTATGCTAATAGAACAGCAAACACTTGTCTTCTGGCTAGCCATCTTTTAGCCTATCTGTCACAGAAATATTAGCCTCCTCCCCAAAATAGACTAAACTGGGAATCATTCAGTGAATCACCTCTTGCACCACATATAGTACATTCCTCTTAGGACAGATTAATTCTCAAAGGATTGAACTCTTAACAATTAACATAAAATCTGTTTAATCTTTTTTTGATTCATAGAATGTTCCTGAAAGCCACAGTGCTGTTGAGGCTTTGATTTGTTTATTTGCTTTTACTTCGTCTGTTTTCTGAAGCTTTATTTTGAATGTCATAAAAACTCTGTTATATAGTAAAAGTCTCAATTTTTGTTTTCGATCTGGGGAATCTAGGAATCTGACTGCAATATTAAGTCACTTGATAATCAAGGTAATCAGAACTCCAAGCAACACTTACCTCATTTTTCAAAGAAAGACACACTTCTAAGGAACAAGGTAAACCTTATTTAATTTTTTTTAATATCAGAGACAATGTATTTTGTTACCAGAAAATGAGAAATACAAGCAAAATCAAAATATCTGTATTCTGATTTTTTTAAAAGTCAACTTTCAAACTTCCTAGGATAATATTTGTGCCTATAGGTTTTTTTGTTTTGTTTTTGATTATTTGTTTATTCTTTTGATGGTATTGGGGTTTGAACTCGGGGCCTTACCAAGCCCCAAGCCTATTTAACTGAGTTTTTCATATGCTAAGTTGGTACCTAACTAAAGATTTTTTCCCTGTACTTACACAGTCGTTATGATGAATTATACCATTGCGTGGGTTATATAATGCCCATTATGATCATGGTCATTTACTCTAAAGCATTTTTGTTTTGGCAAAGCAGCATTGCAACCAAGGTCTTGTAGGTAAATATTTGAGTGCATATTTTTTCTTAATTTGTTAGGGATGAATTCCATGGGATGATGTTGCCACTCCCAAGGCATGTATGACTGTGACTCAGTAGCTTTGATGTCCTGACAAAAGAGCTTCCTAAAACTATGGACCCATGTTAAGCCACTGTTTTTGTTTCAACTTTCCCATTATTTATATTCCGTCAGCTAGATTAATCAGTTTTAAAACAAGTGGAATCAAGAAAAGCAAAGTTAGCTGGATACCAGTGGCTCACACCTGTAATTCTAGCTACTCCGGGGGCAGAGATCAGGAGGAATGAGGTCTGAAGCCAGCCCAGGCAAATAGTTGTCGAGACCCTATCTTGAAAAAAAACCCATCACAAATTTAAAAAAGGGCTGGTGAAGTGGCTCAAGGTGCAGGCCCTGAGTTCAAATCCCAATAACACAAGTAGGGGGAAAAAAAGAAAGAAAAACAAAGTTATAATCATGGTGCAGATTTTGTGTGTGTGTGTGTAAATGACTTAGTGGACACACAGGGAAACTGGTAATAGTAGTTACCTCTGGAAAGACAGGCAGAGTGGGAGTGAATGAAACTCACTATTCTTTCAAATCTTAAACTTTATGCCAGATGTGTTACCTGTTAAAGTAATTGTGATAACTTCTGTAGTATACATTTGTAAATAGCACATTTTATGCATTGCTTATGTTATTTTTCTCTTCCAGTATATAAGGAATACATTGAAATTAACTGTAAGTTGCTTTTAGAGCAGTGTTAAACTGGGCATTAACAGTTTTGTTTCTTTAAGATAGCTATACAGGGTGTTCCATTGTGACTTCTCCATGTATATATGTATTATAACCCAAATTGGTTCATCCCCTCTATTTTTCTCTTACCTTAGTCTCCTTCTTATGGTGATTTCAACAGGTTTAAAAGTTCTATATACATTGTAGGAGGGGGAAGATATAAGGAAAGGGTGTAGGAGTGTGAATATAGTGGAAATGTATACAAATTTATGTAAATGGAAAATGAAACCTGTTGAAATTATTCTAAGAATGGAGGAAGGAAGGATAAAGGAGAATGATAGATGTGTTGAATTCAACTATAGTATATTGTAAGAACTTTTGTAAATGTCACAGTGTACCCCCAGTACAATAATTTGCTTATAGAAATAAAAATAATTCACCAGCAGCCAGATGTACAGTTTACAATAACAACAAAATGAATGGGCATTTCAGTTGCACATACCTACAGTCCCAGCACTCATGAGCTCCATGCCAGCCTGGGCTACATAATTAGACTCTGTCAAAGAACACAAAACAACAGAAATAAAAATGGCTGTTTAATCTTCAGGTTCCTGGACTTCATAAATCTAGTTCTGTGAACTCTCTTTCTGCAACCAAGATCAAGCCTCTTATCCCAGCCCGAGTCAGCGGACTGAGCAAGAAGCCCACAGGCATCCAGAAGAGAAATCATCATGATGCTGAGAATAAGCCGGGACTTCAGATAAAAATCAGTGAGCTCTGGAAGAATTTTGGGTTTAAAAAGTGAGTTGTCCGATTCCTTATTCTGATTTAGGATAAACTATTCTTTTCCATGATTCCAGTTCCTTTCTTCCAACTCTTTCTGGCTTCATCTGAGTCAGTTTCTGTTTCTCTCACTGTCAGCCCTCAGTCTGGTTTGGAGTCTCTGTTAAGCCCATTACTTTGCCAAATCTTAGATGTGTCAGCTCCTCTTTCCTTCTTCTCAGAATTATAATGAGAAGAAAGTTTCAGACAGGTTGATTATAGCTATATTAATGCTTCCCTAAATTACCACATCTAAAATGGAGGAAATCATTGAGTTTATGTGATGCATTTGCCATACTTCTAATGTAAGTAGCAAGTACCATTTTAAAAGATAGATCTTTTATGTGACATTATTTAACCACAGTACTTCCCTTGTGTTAGAGTTCAGAATTAGCTACATAATATCAATTTATAATTTTCTTTTACTGAGTAAAGCAAGTGTATCAAGACAGGTGATAGGATTAAACCTTTCTTAACAGACGTTATCATAGTCAGAGGAGCTGGAAAGAGTGGAAATAAGTACAGATAGTTTATTTTACCTTGTGTATAGTCTAGGATTAAGCCATAGCAGCAGTCCTCAAACTTCCCTTTATATGCTTAAAAATTATTGAGGATTCAAAAACAGTTTGGCTTATGTAGATTACATTTCTTAACACTTAACCATCTTGGAAATGAAAATAAGACATTAAAAGTAACAATAATAGAACTGTTAAAGATGAAGGAAGCATGTTTTTACTGTCTGGTTCAATAGGACTCAGCTGGATCTTATATCTGTTTCTCCATCTGATCTGTTGTGATAGGTTGTATTACTTGAAATTCATGAAGGAAAAATGGCAGCACATATTTGTCATTGGAAATTATGTATCGTGGTAGCCTTTTTTTAGATAACTGTAAATTTTCTTTGCCAGTCCATCCAAACTAAACAAGCAGGAGTTTAAGATTAGTTGCACCATAGAACCTGACACTTTGAATTTCTTTGTTTTTAGTGGGGCTGGGGTTTGAACTCAGAGCTTCACACTTGCAAAGCAGGCACTCTGCCCCTTCAGCCAGGCCTCCAATCCATTTTGCTCTGGTTATTTTAGAGATAGAGGTCTCCTGAAGTAACTTGCCCAGGCTGACCTCAAACCTCAATCCTTTCAGTCTCTGCCCTCTCGTGCCCAGCTCCACTGTGCATTTTGTTCCTTTGTTTTGTTGTACTGGGGTTTGAACTCAGGGCTTAGAGTGTACCATTTGAGCCACATCCCTTGCTGGTGTCACTATGTTACTTCATGCTGATCTGCTAGCAGTTTTTACCCTGTTCTGCTGTAGCATCATCAATACAAATGTCAGTACAATAGATAAGACAAACAAAGTCTAAATATTATTATGATTATTCGATTTTTATAAACCCATGTTTAATCTATGTTGGTTCTTAGCAGACTTGAGAAGGACACTAAGGAGCAGTACAAGTCCCTATTGGACTTTTCTGCCTTAGCCAGTGCACGTATCTAGTAGCATCCTATCCTAGCACCTGCCTTGAAAGATAACTTTGAAAGCAGGTGGAGGCATTGAGAAGCAAAATTCAGGACTTACTGGAAGTATTTAGAGGAGAACCTGAATGTATTCTACAGTGAATTGAAATAGATTTTACAGTAAAGGGTTTTAGCTTCTTCATATACTAATTCATAATCTAATTTTCCAAGTAGATTATTTCTTCTTTAACAATTAGTACCCAAAGAGCACCAAATTCATTTTATATTTTGCAGAGATTCTGAAAAGCTTCCTTCTTGTAAGAAGCCCCTGTCTCCAGTCAAGGATAACATCCAGCTCACTCCAGAAGCAGAAGAAGATATATTTAATAAGCCTGAGTGTGCACATGTTCAGAGAGCAATATTCCAATAAGTGCCAACTGCTTTCTTACATCACTTATAAGATCATCAATTTGAACTCCCTGTTTGAAAATGGGTCATTTACCAGCCTGAAAGATTCATTTGTAGATTGATGCAATTTTTAAAATTGAATACGTTTTGTATATTAACTATATAATTTTTTCATAAAAAGCTAAATAGAATAATTTTGTGTTTGACATTTTTTGGAAGTTTTATTGTTAATTGGGGAAATCCCCTTGGAGTTGATGAAAGATATTCAGTAATTCTGTCTACTGTAAGAAAAAGCACAATTCTGTAACTATCCTGGAGGAAATACTTTCTCTTGGCTTTAATGTTTTCCAGCTGCCTTTCCTGTCATCTTTCAGAGTTAAATTGAAAGTGAAGTTGCTGGGATGGGAGAGGTAATTGCAGGGGTTAAAGATTCTGCTATGCTTTATAGCAGCTTGGTTGATTTGTAGGTTAACAGGGAAGGTAAATTGTTTTCAGCCTCAGGGGAAAGGAACTACTTCTTACATCATTAATATTCTTAGGCTTCAAAATATATCATTTTTCTCCTATCTTGTTTGGAAGTATGGACTAAAACTTCCTTGGCATTATTTAAAAGTGCTGCCCTAAGTGCTGTGTAAGACATCTGGGGTCTGTGATAGGTACACGCTGCAAAGATATACAGATACACAAGTACAGATCTGGAATTACAGTAACCCAGAGAACAAGAGGAGCAGGGCGATGTTTTCTATGACAGAACAACTTATGAATTCAAGTTAGACATTGTCTGTAGATATTTATCTCTTCACCCCAAATGCCACTTATGTCAGAAGATGAATAAAATGTACTACAAATGCACAAGGGTTTACAGAATAGAAGTGGAGACATCAGGTAAGTAAAGGAAGATTTAAAAAAATATGGCTAGAAAGTGTCAGAAACCAGTAAATGGAGATTTGCAGGTTCCTGTGAAACAAGTGCAAAGTAAAGCTGAAGACAGAATGGATTTTTAAAATCTTTAAAAAACAGAGCAGGAAAAGGAAAGATAGCAACAGTGCTATCTTTCCTTGTTCAATTTCCAAATCCTCATATAATTGAAAGTCCACAGACCGCATTAATAGTAAATTTAGAAGACACTATTCTAAGTTCCAAAATAAAAGTGGATGAGGACAAGCCACCACAGACCCAAGACCACAAGTGTTATTGGCATCTCTTCTGGTGAATCAGAGGAAGGAGACAGCCACTGATGGGCACAGCAGGCCAAGTTGAGAAGAGCATTTGAACTGGAAGAGGCTTGGTGACTGATGGTGAGTGAGTGCAAGAGGCCTGCAATAGGGTCTGAAAGACTGAAGACAGCCATGCCCTGTGAACTGTGAATTGTGGAAACTCATTCACCAAGTTTACTAAGGCACTTTTAGGAAGGGGTGCCCCTCAGAAGAGTAACTGCTGGGAGAGAGCCAAACTGATTAAGAGATGAAAAGGTTAATGGAATAGAAAACAGTCAAAACAAAAAGTCTCAACAGGATATCCTGGTTTTGAACATTTAAAAATCATCTTATGACCATGATTTCCTAAAATTTAGGAAAACCAGTTTTATGAAACTATAGAAAAGTTGGGGGTTTTTTTGTTGTTTTTTTTTGGTATTATTGGGGTTTGAACTCTACCACTTGAGCACTCCACCAGACCTCATACACAGTTATTTTAATAAGAAAGAATCAAGAGCAGAAATAACATCTTTATAAATAGTGAAAATCTATCAAATAATTGCAATTTATTGAAAGCCATCATAAAAGTAGTTGACCACTATTGGAGGATGATTGCATATTAATTCATTATCTTGGAAAGGGGAAAACCAAACATTCTTCTGTCTTTCCACTGTGAACTGTTATTTGGACTATCAGATGGCAGATGAAAACAGCAAATATCTCTGGTGTTCTAATAATGGAGATGAGACCACCATTTTGCAACTGATGGGTTTAGACTATGAACACCAACTAATATTAACATTACAGAAAGGCAACCAGGTATTTTATGCCTCTCAATAAACTGTGTTGCCTATCATTCTGCCGAAAGGAGTAAAGATGAGTCTGAGACACACTACCAGCCAAGTTGCAGGACACACAAGGTCAGGAACAAGTATAGAGTTAGCAAAATCTAGACTGGGAAGTTGCAGATTAAATGCCCTGTGATCTTGAACAATTAAATTGTAAGGAAAGCTATGGGAAAGGAAGCTCTGCATTTACAAAAAACACAAAGCCAGATTATTTAGGGATAAATGCTTTGGTGGTAAAATAGCAAATCTATACAAGAAAATAATACCTACAGAAGTCATCATAGTGGCTTACTGTAGGTGGGGCAGGGGGCATTGACATTAGGACAAAGCATGTGGAAGGGAGTTGGGAAGGCTGGCAAGGTTTTATGGCTGGTGTTGATGTGATGGTTGCCTTATAACTATCTTATTTAACAGTTACAGTATTGCCATATCATAAGGCAATGTATTAGCCTTATAATAACTTACTGGTTTATGTGGCTGTTTTGTATGGTAGTTTTTTGAATTTTTTGTTTCACTGTATATTTTTAAAATAGTTAAAATACTTCATCAAATCAAAGACATTGATTGTAAGAGGCTTTACTTTATGTGCCATTAAAAGAAAAACATTCATTAAATTGATATCCCATCAACTTTTAACACAGGTATTATTTTCAAAATGTTGAAATGTGTACCTTACAGTAGATGAAGTGCAGTAATTAGATACAACAGATTCTATCTCTCATGTGAGTATCCTTACCACCACAGTCAAAGACTTGAAGCTTACTCTGCATAGTTGACACCAGACAGTCTATAGTCTTAAAGACCATGAAGCACAGCTGAGGGGAGGTTCTGCTGTACAAAGGGAAAAATGCAAATATACTAAGCAGTGTGGTTCTCTTCCATTCCCTCCTTTAGCTCTCATTCTCTTTCTGGGATAATTGGAATTATACATAAACCATCATTCAAAACTGGGCTGGGGTATGACTCAAATGGTAGAGTGCCTGTCTAGCAAGCAGTCCTGAGCAGTACATACACACAGTTGTTCAAAGCTGTATCACAGCTCTTGGATGCTATAATGTTTATTCTGTTCTATTTTTCAGTTTGTGCAGTTTCTTGACCCATCTTGAAGTTCACTGATTCCTTTTGTGTCTTGAGAAATTCATTTCTCATTGTGGTTTTTATCTCTAGCATTTCTGTTATGATTTTTAGCTTTCTACTGACATTCTTTTGCCTATTCAAGCATTTTTCTGCCTTTTCCACTAGACTTAACATATTAGTGATGGTTATTTTAAATTGTTTGCCTGATATTTCCATTATCTGAATCATCTTTGAGTCTGGTTCTGTTTTGCTTGTTGACAGTTTTTTCTTTTTTCCTTGCTTTTTTGTGGTATATGGTTGTTGATTGAGTGCTGCATGTTACCGTAGAACAATAGCTACTAATGTGCAAGGTATTTATGCCTCTTACTACTGGGCAGGTAGAGTTGACCTTGGGAACTCTAATCTGGGTTTAGGTTTTGCTGTTGCCATGATTATCATCCCTCTGTTGCCTCCACTTAGCCTTACTTTTTAGCGGCCTGTGTCCCTGGACATGATGGTAGCCTTTCTCAATGATTCTGCTGCTTCTGTAGTGTGGGCCTGGCACAGTTTTCTGCCCCTTCCTCAGAGATAGATTAATTCATGTTTTCCTTTCCTTTTCTCAGCTGCAGTGGTCTCTGTTTAAGTTTTTTGTAGAACAAAATATGCTATGCCTGCACCTCTTGATAAGGTTTTTCTGGTCATTTTTTTGTGGTATTGGGGCTTGAACCCAGGACTTGCTTGCCAGGCAAGCACTCTACCACTGGAGCCAAGCTCACAGCTGCTCTTCTGGTCTTCTGCCCTGTCTTTAGTCTGTCTTTAGAACACCCCCTGCAGATCCATGGGAGAACTCTGAACGTGGTATGAACTCTTTTGTGTCCAGCTCCCACGCTGGTCCATGCTTACCCTTTTCCACTTCATTAAAAACTTGAAGTTTTATTCTCTTGTGTGAAGGCCCTATTTTTCTCCCACACTCTGTTTGAGGTAGGCCAATATTAGCATCCACCGTCCTTAGAGCCTTGTCTATTCTTAGACTTTAGGCTACCTTGCCCTATGATACTAGCTCTCTGATAATTGAAAGGAAAGTTAGAATTTTTTGGATAGTCCAGTTTTTATTGTTAATGTGAGACTAAATCTCCTAGGCTTTCCTCACCCTAGGCAGATGTGGAGTCCCCGAGTTTTTTTTTAAGCAAGAATTTATTTTAGTAGTATAGGGTAAATTATAGATGGGGGGGGGGGGACATGAGAAACATTTCCTGTTCCCCACACAGAAAATGGGAGCAAAATTCCCAAATTTTTGCTTTTTAACTGGTTATAGAGGACCTATTCCCACAAACTATTCATCCTCTGACCATGCTAGGCTAAAGAAGGCTATGATGGAGTCAGACCATGGCCAGAAAAATGTAACTGGGCTGTAGCATCATCATACTTGAAACTGATAAGTGCTTCTGTAGCCAGAAGCAATCTAGTCACTTATTCCCCACCAATATCCAGTTTATTACACTAAGGTGTTGCTTAGGTGTTGCTAGGTGCAGTGGTCAGGGCAGTGCTGTTATTAAATGTTGGTTAAGTTCGATGCTCCACAATGAAAGCATTATCCATCTTTGTTCCTCATCTCCCAGCAAAACTGGAGTCAGTCAGTACTCTACGTTCTTACTCATTGACTCCTTGCTACCAGGTACTGTATATTGCACAACATCTGACGTTTTCTAAACGCATTTCAGTGTTTGTTCAATGCTTGTTGATTAATCATTTAGGGGAAGCAGAAGAACAGTTCAAAGAATTGCAGATAAGAATCAGAAGACTTAGCATGCAATTATGAGTTGCTTATAATTCAGAGTGACCTTGAATAAACCAATGAACATTTGTTTTCTTTTTTCATGTCTCATAGGACATAGGGCTTGACCTCTAACTCTTGAAATTGCCTCTTCAAATTCTCTGAACCAAACAAGTGAGTTCTCTGATTTTTGAGTAATAATTTAATGACTATTCCAAAATCTCCAGAAGAGGGCAGTTCCTTCACACTGTTTAATGTCTGAAAAGACCTTCGA